CCCGCCCTCCCCGCCCCCCCCCCCCCCCCCCGCACCCCGCGCGCCTTCGGGCCCCGGGGACGAGACGCCGCCCCGCGCGCCCTGGGGAGTCGACGCCCTGTCCGCGGCGAGCAAAGTTCGGCTCGGCGCGCGTTTCACCTGCGCTCCCCAGACCCCGCCCGCTCACCTCCCTCATCGCCCCGCTTCCTTCCTTCCTTCCCTCCGCCCCGGCGCCCGGTCATTGAGAAATGCCTTTGCGAAGGACGCCTTTGGCGGCGGCGGCTCAGACGTTGCGCGGCTGGAGGGCGGGAAAGTGTGCCGGTTGGAAAGAGGTCAGAGCGGGGAAGAGGTACTATTTGTGCTCTTCTTGGAGAGGTTCAACAGAGTTCCAAAGAAAACCCCACATTCTGTTTGCTTCGGTAGAAAAGAGCAAGAGTCCAGTAGGAGCTTAAAGGTAAAGGTTCCCTTGCTCGAAAGCCAGTCGAATCCGACTCTAGGCTTGCGGTGCTTATCTCCGTTTCCAAGCCGAAGAGCCAGCGTTGTCCGAAGACACCAAGGTGCACGGAACGCTGTTACCTTCCCACTGAAGTGGTACCTATTTCTCCACTTGCAATTTCTTGCTTTTGAACTGCTAGGTTGGCAGGAGCTGGGACTAGGGACGGGAGCTCACTCCGTCATGCAGCACACTCGGGTCTCGAACTGCTGAACTACTGACCTTCCGCAGCCTGCAGTTCAGCGTCTTAACCACTTGAGCCACCGCAGCTCCTAGTAGGAGCTTAAAGACTAACACAATTTGTGGCTGGTGAATGAGCTTTCCAGTCGTTGCTGGCTTCTGCCGATTTCAGGAAAGCTCCTCCCCGGCCACATTTTTTTTAGTCTTTAAGGTGCTACTGGACTCTTTTCTGCTGCTGAAGACCGACAGACAGACTAGCATAGCTACCCATCTTGATCTATCTTTGCTTTTGGTTCTGGTTGTTCCCTCTTTATGGGCTTTGCTCAAGGTGGGTGGATTCGCTGACTTTTTCTTTTTAAATTGCCTTTCTGGCCACCCCCACCCCCCCATGAAAACCCACTCTGAGCCAGTCACAAACTCTTACCCTAAAGTATCTCCTAGTGCTGTTGGGTGGATAAAATGAAACTGGGGAGAACGCAGCCTACCTTACCTGGTTGTTGTGAGACTAAAACGAAGAAGGGGGAAACCGGGTGGCTGTGGGCCAGTCACGCCCCGACCGGGATAGCCCAGGCTAGCCTGATCTCGGAAGCTAAGCAGGGTTGGCCCTGGCTAGTATTTGGAAGGGAGACCTCCAAGGAATTTACCAGGGTCATGACCAATGTTCCCTCTAAGCTGTGGAGTCTTGTGTGCAAAAATTCTACTTTGTGAGCAACTGGCATTAAAGCTGTGAGCCAGCGATTTGGCTACTGCATAAATTAGTTTGCTCTGGAGTTGTCCTTTTTGAGCTAAGACAAAAATCTGTGAGCCGGAGGCTAAAAAACTGTGAGCTAGCTCACACTAACTCAGCTTAGAGGGAACACTGGTCATGACGCAGAGGCTAGCAATGGCAAACCACCTCTGAAACATCTCTTGCCTTAAAAAAAAAAGACTAGCTCACTACCTAGTGGTGCATAACACTAAAAGAGCTAGAACTTATGGCTGCCAGACAATCTTAGGATCTCCTGGCTATTCTACACACCATGCCTTATTATGATGATGATAAGCCTAGCCTACCTCACAGGGTGGTTGTGAGAATAAAATGGAAGAGAAACCCAAGTGGTCTTAGGCCAACCACTCTCCATCAGCCTAGTCTACCTTACAGGGCTGTTGTAAATATTTACTTGCTTTTTTAAAAAAAATCATTTATACCCTGTGTTTGGCCCCAATGGGGACCCAAAGCAGCTTATATTATTTTCCTCTCCCCTATTTTAACCTCACAACAGCCCTGTGAGGTAGGATAGGTTAACAGTGTGTGCCTGGCTCAAGGTCACCCAGCAAGCTTCCATGGCAGAGTGGAGATTCGAACCTGGGTCTTCCAGATCGTGCTCTAGTCACTACACACGATACCAGCTCTTGATGGAGGAGCCCAGTCTTCTTTGAAGGAAAAAGGGGAGGGGGATTCGAACCTGGGTCTCCCAGATTGTGCTCTAGTCACTACACATGATACCAGCTCTTGATGGAGGAGCCCAGTCTTCTTTGAAGGAAAAAGGGGAGGGGGAGATATGATTGTGATTTAAAAGCGCTACTTTGCTACTTTGTAGTTGATTCTTAGAAAAGATATTCTGCTACAATTGCTTTTACTTTTTGTAAAAAAAACCCCACTACATAAATGCTAACCCCTTTCCTCAAGGTTAAAGGAAGGGCGGGTGGGATTTCCTCCATCACGTGCCCCTGCAGCTCTATTTAATCTACAGCTGATTTTATTGTATCGTCAGTTATTCAAGAATCCGGCAGTGAGAATGTAAATAGGAAATTGCTGGAGGGGGGGAGGGGGAAGTCCCCACTTAAAGTGCAGGTTGGTGTTCCAAATGAACAGCCTGGGTTCCATCCGTGTTTACTCAGAAGAACTAAGTGGCACTCAGTGTAATAGGGTTGATTCTCAGATAGATGCGCAGAGGCATTCCGGGAATGCTTTGGAGTGAGTCCCGTTGCTGTAAAGCTAGGCTGGGCTCATTAGAAGGGATAGTACTGACTTGCCTGGGGGGGTGGCAGTGAGAAGTCCCTGTGAGGTTTTCTTCCTGACCAGTCAGCGATGCTGTGGAGTCCACTATGTTTGTCTGTCACCTTCTTTGTTGCACAGCAAAGCATCAAAGTGAGATTATTATTTTTTTGCAAGCTACAGAGGGGCTTGATTTGCATTCGCTTTGGGTGTGGAGGGGAAGGTATTTCTGAATTTCCTGCATTGCGCAGGGGGTTGGACTAGATGACCCTGGAGGTCCCTTCCAACTCTGTGTTTCTGTGATTCTATGATTTTGGGACCAGCAAATGGGCTGGGGGACAGCCTAGAGCACAGAGGTCCCCAACGTGGTGCCTGGGGGCACCACAGCACCCACCAGCACTTTTCTTGGTACCTGCCAACAGTGTTCCCTCTAAGCTGAGTTAGTGTGAGCTAGCTCACAGTTTTTTAGCCTCCGGCTCACACATTTTTGTACTAGCTCAGGAAGAATGGCTCCAGAGTAAACTAATTTATGCAGTAGCCAAATTGCTCACTCACAACTTTAATGCCAGTAGCTCACAAAGTAGAATTTTTGCTCACAAGACTCCACAGCTTAGAGGGAACATTGCCTGCCAAGTGTTTTCAGAAAGCGGGTGGGGCCAGGTGGGGCGTTTGCCCAGCAAGGCTTTTGAGTGGCCTTCGGAAGATTTGATTGGTGCTCAAGTGGTTAAGAAGCTGAACTGCAGGCTGTGGAAGGTCAGTAGCTCAGCAGTTCGAGACCTGGGTGCCTCATGACGGAGTCAGCTCCCGTCTCTAGTTCCAGCTCCTGCCAACCTAGCAGTTCGAAAGCAAGAAATTGCAAGTAGATAAATAGGTACCACTTCAGTGGGAAGGTAACAGCATTCCATGCGCCTTGGTGTTTAGTCATGCCGGCCACATGACCACAGAAACGTCTTCGGACAGCGCTGGCTCTTCGGCTTTGAAACGGAGATGAGCACCGCAACCCAAGAGTCGGATTCGACTGGCTTTCGAGCAAGGGAACCTTTACCTTTACTTTTACCTTACAGATTTTTTAAAATTGATCTGGCAGCAGCCGTCATCACAGCACAAGGATCTTCACTGTGTGACTAAAGATGAGCTGATAGATCAAGATGGGTAGCCATGTTAGTCTACCTCTAGCAGTGAAAAAGAGCAAGAGTCCAGCAGCACCAGAAGGAGGAGGAGGAGGAGGAGGCTGGATTTATACCTCGCCCTTCACTACCCAAAGGAGAGAGCGGCTCACAAACTCCTTTCCCTTCCCCTCCCCACAACAGACACCCTGTGAAGTAAAATAATAAGAAGAGACTGGATTTATACCCTGCCCCTCACTACCCGAAGGAGTCTCAGAGTGGCTTTCAAACTCCTTTCCCTTCCCCTCCCCACAACAGACACCCTGTGAGGTGGGTGGGGCTGAGAGAGCTCTGACAGAAACTGCTCTTTTTCAAGAACAGCTCTTATCAGAACGGCTTGCCCAAGGTCATCCAGCAGGTGTCATGTGGAGGAGTGGGGAATCAAACCCAGTTCTCCCAGACTAGAGTCCACGCACTTAACCACTACACCAAAACTGGCTCTCAAAGACTAGCAAAATTTGGGGCAGGGGAGGAGCTTCCATGAGTCATGGCTCACTTCTTTATTTTGATCAAGATGGGTAGATCAAGTCTGACTATAGTCCAGGTGCTCCTGGACTCTTGCCTCTTTTCTACTGCTACAGACAGACTGACACGGCTGCCCATCTCGATCAGTCGTCATATGCGTTATGTCCTGAGCTTGGTTTACATCTCATAGATAAACTAGTATCCAAAAGGGTAATGTCTGATTGGCTGCTCTGCGAAGCAGGCCAGTCATGATGCAAGGATTGTGCTGGAGGGGAGTAAACTGATCGCTCTTTATCTTTGTAACTCTATTGGTTGTTACCACAAATGTGGGCGTGGCTAGGTTAGCCCAGACTGTTTAAATAAGAGCCTGTTGCTCTCTGTGTTGGTTCTGATCTGTGTTGAGTTATTGAAATCACTTCCATTAAAGCTGAATCACTTACGGAACGCTGCCTTAAGTGTCATACTTAACAATATGATGTTCTGATGGCTGTGCATTTTGCCCATGAACAGGATTAAAAACTCATCTGTGACAAGATAATCCCTGCCTTCTTGACATGTTCTAGTCTGCCTGCCTGTCTCTTGTTCCCAGGTCCTGTGAGGAAAGGTTGAAAGAGCTCGGTGTGTTTAGCCTGGAGAGGAGATGACCGAGAGGTGATATGATCACCCTCTTCAAGTACTTGAAGGGCTGTCATAGAGAGGATGGTACGGAGTTGTTTTCTGTCGCCCCAGAACTTTGGACCAGAACCAACGGGTTGAAATTAAATCAGAAGAGTTTTTGGCTAACCATTAGGAAGAACTTCCTGACGGTCAGAGTGGTTCCTCAGTGGAACAGGCTTCCTCGGGAGGTGGTGGGCTTGGCCTTCTTTGGAGGAGGTTTTCAAACAGAGGCTAGATGGCCATCTGACAGCAATGCT